TTTGCTCTGAACTTGTGGAATCTGGTTAATTTTGGGTAATCAGTATCAGTATTAAACGAAATTGCAAGATACACAGTTGATCTAAGAGAATTGTCAGAACAACATGGAAATTGAAACAATTACTATTAATGAGTTTGCCTAAGAAGAGTATATAACAAATATCATCTAGAGCAAAACTCTAAGAAAAATGGCTATTGAATAAAATATTTCCCAAAAATGTCATTTCAGTACTGAAATGGTGCTGAGTTTAGATGACATAAAATAAACTTCTGCTTTGTTTAATATTTATTTATTTATTATAAATGCATTGAGACTTACTTTTCATTTATGGCAAATGGCATTGCTATTTTCCATTAATAACACTAATATAAAATTCCTTGTAAAGAAATTACTTTGAGTTTAAAACATGAGTAAATTAAAAATATTGGCAAAATCTATTAAGATGATATTCAAATGACTAAATGCATTCATTTAACAAACACTCATAGACTGCTTATTATGTGACAAATCTGAAAACCCACTAGTAAACAGAACACACAAAAAAGCACACCCTTATGGGGTGAAAGAGGCAGGATAATCAAGATAAATAAGCAAAATACAGATAGTACAGCAGATAGTAATAAGGTCCAAGGAGATTTAAAAAAATAGCAATGTGAACAATAAGTGGAAAAAGATGGGAGAAATTTTAGATTTTAAGATGAACAAAGTTTCTATCTGAGGCCAAGCTTTTGTCTTAACAATTAAGCTGCTTGGTATAATCACACTCCATTTTGGAGTGGCTAGATTCAAGTCCCAGTTCTGATTCCAGCTTCTTACTAATGAGCACCCCAGGAGGCAGCCGTGATTGCTCAAGTACTTGGGTCTCTGCCGATCATGTGAGAGAGATAAGATTGAGTCCCTAGCTCCTGAGTTCGGCCTGGCCCAACTCTGGCTGTTGTGGGTATTATGGGCATTTAGGGAGTGAACCCTTGGATTAAAGCACTCTCTCTCTCTCTCTCTCTAGCTCTCTCAGATAAATAAAATTTATAAACAAATGTTTTTACCAAGATGAAGATAGCAGGATCTAACCAAGGTGATGATAGCAGGATCCAGCACTGGGGTGTAGAGGGCTCAGCTGCCACCTTTAATACCATCATCCCAAATAGTCTCTGATTCATGTTCCTATTGCTCTGCTTCTGATCCAGCTCCCTGCTAATGTATCTGGCAGAGCTCTTCGCTCCTGCCTTCGGCCTGGCCCAGCCTGGGCATTATAGCCATTTGGAGAATGAACTAGTATACAGAAGATTTCCTCTTTTTCTATCTCTTGCTCGCTCGCTGTCTCTCTCTCTCTCTGCTTTTCTCTATAACTCTACCTATCAAATAAATCTTTTAAACAAAACAAAACAAAACAAAATTATGCTGGCTGAGTGAAGAATGAATGAAGTAGCAATAGAAGCACAGTTCATGGATATTTGAGAGAAAACCATTTCAAGAAGAGGAAACAGGAAATACAAGGTCCATGAGGGAGGAACATGATAGGAAAAAGGAGACCAGCATGACTGGAAAGAAGCAGCAAGTATCTTAGACATGTGGACAAAGGCAGTAGTGTTGCAGACCATCAGAGGAACCATCAGAGGAGTGACTTGATCCAACTTGTCTTTTAGCAGGAATATCTTGCTTTGATGAGATGATATTGAAGAAGCAAAGCACAGAGGCAGGGAGATGACAGCATTAATACAGGTGAGAGATGTCAGGGACTTGTACTAGGGTTGCACTGTGCTGCAACACTGACCCCAGACTTAGCTTCTTTAATGCCTGATGGAAGATACCACCAGTACAGGGTATAGAAGTGATAATTAAACTGATAGAAGAAAAAGAGGGGAAATGAGTCTTAAACAAAAGAAGTGTGGCTTCCATTGAAGCAGGTGAGAAAGGTCTGGTTCAAAGTAGGAGCTATTGAGCTCCTGCAGGAGAAAGGCATCTTCTACACAAGGGCCACCATTCTCTCTTTATTCTCTTGTCTTGTTTGTTTGAGGTCTAGTTGCCCTTCAGTCCAATCCCTTTAATTTGCAAAATAGCTCTATTCATTTGCAGTACCTAGAAAGTACTGAAGGTGGTATGCAAATCACAAGGGCAGTCTGTAGATCTCACATCTGCAGTAAAAGAACTGTAAACTAAGTAAACCTCAAAAAGTTTGTGACTCCACTGTGTAATTAATGCCTCTAGAAGTAAACAAAACAAAACAAAGCTTCCATAGAATGTTATTGCCAGAGGGAGTTCAGAGATTTCATTCTATAGCCCATCTTACTCAAATTCCCCAGTCACCTCAAACTCTTTTAGCCCAGGGGTTTGTAAGTACTCCAAGAACACACAGCTTCTTGATAAGCAATGTTCAGAACTTCCAGTTACCTTCCAAATCTACGACTTCTTCACCATTTTCTGTAAAGTGTGTTGGGGACAGGATTGGAGCCCCAGGCCCCAAAGCATTAATTTCTTTTTTTCTCTACTAAACTGCATTTTTTAATTTTTTGGTTTTTTTTTTTTTTTTTTTTTTTTTTTGACAGGCAGAGTTAGACAGTGAGAGAGACAGAGAGAAAGATCTTCCTTTATCCATTGGCTCACCCCCCAAATGGCCGCCATGGCCAACGTACTGCGCCTATCCGAAGCCAGGAGCCAGGTACTTCAGGGCCCAAGTACTTGGGCCATCCTCCACTGCCTTCCTGGGCCACAGCAGAGAGCTGGACTGGAAGAGGAACAACCAGGACAGAATCCGGTGCCCCAACCGGGACTAGAACCCTGGGTGCTGGCGCCGCAGGAGAAGGATTAGCCTAGTGAGCCACGGCGCCAGCTGCATTTTTTAATTTTAAAAATAATATAAATTGTCTGTTATCCTCATATCTGTGTTGTAAGTTAGTTTTACTGGATTCATCTTAATTTTGCGTAAAATTGAGGCTTCAGGAAAAGAGCCGCATTGAATTCAAGCTTCCTCTACCCCAGTACCTCAACTTGGGAAGGGCAGCCCTGAGTGCTGTCATTCTTGGTAACATCTCCTCTTTCTACACGTTTACTTCTAATAATCAGTGACATATTAGCCTTTTATCATTGCTGCTTCTATATATAATTTTAAAATTTTATTTAGGTATTTAATTAGCTTATTAGAAAAGCAGAGAGACAGAGACAGATCTTATATCCACTGGTTTACTTCTAAAATGCCCACAACAGCCAAAGCTGGGCCAGGCTGAAACCTGGAGCTGGGAATTAAATCTAGGTCTACTACATGGGTGGCCAGGACCCAGTTACTTGACTCATCATCTGCTGCCTCCCAGAGTATTCAATGGCAGGAAGCTGCAATAAAGAATGGACCAGGGACTCAACTCTAGGCACTCAGATATGATATATGGGCCTTAATTACTGTGCCAACATCCACCCCACATGTAATTCTTATACCTCATTTAATTATAAAACCTCACAGGCAAAATGTAGTAGATGCAGTGTTTGGTCTTCCCAGGCCTCCCTGCTCTTCCTTTCCTGGGACTGCTGTCTGCACTTTCACCCCATTCCACAAAGTTAAGGCAGACACTATCCTCTTAGTACAGGGTCATAGCTTATTGGTTCTTCTACTTCCACTCACACCATAGTTGATTGGTTCAGGAACAGACATCTGAATTAAGTCAGACCAGTCAGAGGATCTATAATGATAAAGTTGTTCTCTTTCCAGTGGCCAAAGTAGAAAGGGTAAAATCAGGAAACATTTGTGGACATTTTTCTGCTATGCAGGGAATGTCAACATGCAAGGGGAAGTTGCTGATGTGAAAACTAAACAGAAACTCCTGATATTGCTGGGGTTTCTGTTTCCAATTTCCCCAAGGCCTGGTTGCAGTTCTGCCTTTCCCAGGATTTGACATTCATACCTGTATTCTGGGGTCAACGAATTTCCCCTTTGCTTAAGTGATTTGATGAGGGTGTCTGTCACTTGCTGCAGAAGAATTAAATGTAGTACTTCTTTAGAAAGTCTGTGGAGCTAAACAAAGATCCAGGGATTAATAAGTACTTGTTGATTGCCTGCTTGCCATTTATTGGCTTAAGTCTTGCTGAGAGATATCATTCTGGAAGAATATTGACTGCCACAGATGCCAACCAGGAGCTGTAACCCAAGGCAATTCACACTTGCAGTACTTGTGAAATTCAAGTCCACTGACCAGCAGGGAAGGAGAAAGTCACAACCAATGAGGCACAAAGACACACAAGGTGATGGTTTCATACCAAAATAACACACTCTAAATGCTGCTAGGGTAAAAGGACCAGGGATGGGGCCAGTGCTGTGGCGTAGCAGGTAAAGACACTGCCTGCAGTGCCGGCATCCCATATGGGCACCAGTTCAAGACCCAGCAGCTCCACTTCCGATCCAACTCTCTGCTATGGCCTGGGAAAGCAGTAGAAGATGGCCCAAGGCCTTGGGCTCCTGCACCAGCATGGGAGACCTGGAAGCTCCTGGCTTCAGATCAGCACAGCTCTGGCTGTCGCAGCCATTTGGGGAGGGAACCAATGGATGGAAGACCTCTCTCTCTCTCTCTTTCTCTGCCTCTTCTTCTCTGTGTAACTCTGAATTTCAAATAAATAAATAAATAAATCTTAATAGAAAAAAAAAAAAAGAGCAGGGAAACAGTGTGGGCCAAAGACTTTAAGACTTGGATCTGCATCCTAGATCTGTTGACAGTGAAGGATGGGTCTTTGGAATAAACACAGAACATTTCTGAGTTCATGTTTTCAAATCTAGAAGTAAGGAGGTTATAGGATAAAATTGAGGCCAGCCTTTTGAGATAAAAAAGACCTGCTGTGGTCTGCTGTTTGTATTCCCTCAAAATTCAGCTAGTGAAACCTAATCATTAAGGTTAGAGCAAAAGAAGATGATATCTTAAGGGGTGATTGGGTTATGAGGGCTGTACCTTTGCAAACGGAATTAGTGCCTTTCTGAAAGTGTTAGAGTCGACCGCCCAAAAAACATCACCAAGAGACATGTCTCTTATGCAAACAGCACGGGGAAGCTTTATTGATTATCCAGCATGCTGGGGCTGTCTGATCATACATGAGCAGAGCAGCCCCGAATAACCAAAGGTTAGGGTTTATAAAGGCAAAAACCACAAAATCGGGAGGGGGGAGAGAAGACACGGTTGCTAAGCGGTTGCTAATATCTTACAATCAGCAATTATGATCTTAAGACATAGACAAATCACATTTTCATTATTGGCTCAGGTAACCTAGGTGTAGACTTTTTATTTTTAAGCTTGAGCAATCATGCTAGGGGGTTTTTATGTGTTGCCAAGGGTGATGTAGTGCCCTGCTATTGTCCGACTATTTGAGATCATAGTTTCAGACCAGAGTCTCACGGGGGGGGCGGGGGGGTGCTTTCCCAGAATGCAATCTCAAGTGCTCCAAAATGGAGTCCCTACTGTCAAGGTGCTACTTTACTCTGTCTTATTTTCACAGCTGCACCAGGAAGGTTTAAACCTGTAAGTTTAAGCTTAACTTTTTACACCCGCACATATACAATTTTAACTCTTCATTCCCCACTCCTTGTTGTGAGGATCTCTAATCTTAGAGATTATTCATTTTTGTCTTTTTTAATGTGACATATTGTTGTCTTACAACCATGAGTTTAACATTTTTAACTTGTTTCCGCACGAAGGTGATGAGTCTATTTAACACACAAGGTCCTATGGTTACAATTAGGAGTAGAACAATTAAGGGTCCTGTTAGGGCTGACAGTAGAGTAGTAAGCCATGGGGACCGGCCGAACCATGACTCAAACCATCCCTGTTGAGTTCCCCTCTCCCGTTGCCGTTTTCCAGTCGTTTTCTGAGTTTGGCCATGGAGTTTTTAACTACCCCAGTTTAGTCAGCATAAAAACAACATTTTTTTCTTTAGGGCCACGCATAACCCCCCCCCCCCATTTATGAAAATGAGATTCAACCCCCGCCTGTTCTGTAATACTGAAATGCAGATATTGGGCTGCATCTGGGAGATTGTGGAAGATTTGTCAGGCAGAAGGGGCGGGGATCTCCACCTGGCAGGTTATCAGGTAGAAGGGGGCAGGGCAGGATGCAAAGGCCAGGCTGCCCATGAAACATTGTCAGGATGACTGAGATGTAGATGTATATGCTGGACACATTAGGCCTTTATGTCACACACACATAAGCTCATAACTGACTTTCTGCCTAACATTTTTCCCTCAAGAGGTAATACCCAAAATTCTTCTTTGGGATTATGGATGGAGTTCCGTTTTCTGTAACTTCTTCGAAGCTGGCATGTGGGCGTCGAGGGGGATTTGGGTATTTCCTCTTGCTACCTATCTTATGGTGTGCAACAGTGGCTTTGGAAAGACTGTGTTGCTCGGTCCAGAGGGCTGCTCAGGTCGTCCAGTGAAATGGGCTGGAAGTCTTGCCTGATGACCATTTGGAGTTCAACAGCTTTTAGTCTGTTAGAGACAAAATGAACAAGGGCATTAAAAACACATGGCCCAAAGAGAAGCATCAAGATTGCAGAAGTTAGTGGGCCAAGGAGAGGAAATAGCCAGGATTTTTATGATCAGATGTTAGGCCAGAAATCCCAGCCCTGCTTGGCCTGGTCCTGGAGCTGTTTGGCTTTTTCCAGAAAAGGTACAAATTTGGGTTTGTGTCTGTCTAGTCTGATTGACCCAGAGACTATATATATATATATATATGTATATATATATATATATATATATTTGGATATCTAGTAGCCAGTTTTGCTAGGAAGTTAAGCCAATGTACAAGACTAGAGTCTCAGGCTGGGAAAGAAGACAGACTAATGAATTATTTACATTTAACTATTTATATTATGGATTATTGTGCACCCCCCTCAAGAGATAGGCCCTTTAAGTCCCCAGTGAGGACCTGTCCAAATAGGTGTAGGGCTATCTGTGTTAGCTGTTACTGAAAGCCCTGTTTTTAGGAACTGGCAGGGAGGGCTTTCTAAGCTTAATGTTATTGGATAGACTTTTAAGGCCTGGCTGGGTGTGTGAGGCCCAGACCTATCCATGGGATGCTGGAAGAGAATTGAAAGAGATGCAGATAGAACAGGTCATCAAAGAAGGAGGTACCTTTCTCTGAAGGGAGGAGAGAACCTTCACTTTGACTATGACCTTGTCTAAACAAGATAAGAGTCGGAGAACTCAGAGGGCTTCCATAGCCTTGGAAACTCATGCCTGGAGCATAGGGAGATTACTGATGCCATAGACAGGAGTGTCAATTGGTAAAGTCAACAACAGGAGTCACTGTGCACTTACTCCTCATGTAGGATCTCTGTCCTTAATGTGCTGTGCATTGAGATTTAATGCTATAACGAGTACTCAAACAATATATTTCACTTTGTGTTTCTATGGGGGTGCAAACTGTTGAAATCTTTACTTAATGCATACTAAACTGATCCTCTGTAAAAAAAAAAAAAAAAAGAAATTATCAATTCCCAACTTGACCCTCACTGGGATTAAACATGACAATAGGTCTGCTCTGATTTCATCATCATTTAAAAAAAATCATCTATTATTTTTCACTTTATGTTTTTGTGTGGGAGCAAACTTTTGAAATCCTTACTTAATGTATACTAAGCTGATCTTCTGTATATTAAGATAATCGAAAATGAATCTTGATGTGAATGGAAGGGGAGAGGGAGTGGGAAAGGGGAGGGTTGTGGGTGGGAGGGACGGTATGGGGGGGGAAGCCATTGTAATCCATAAACTGTAATTCATAAGTCGTACTTTGGAAATCTATATTCATTAAATAAAAGTTAAAAAAAAAAAAAAGAAAGAGATGCAAATCTCCTTTAAGGGAGGCACCCTGTTGACTTGCATTACATGGCTGGACTAGGAGGAGAGCTGAATAGGAGGCTGATAGAAATAGGCAACTTGCGTTTCACTGACCCTAGGCCATCCCCTCAATAGCAGTGGCTGGAGCTGGAAGCTGGGCAGAGGCTGGGCAGAGCCAAAGGCTTTTTAGCTCGGGGCCACAGGGTCTGCGGTTCTGAACCAGGAGTCCTTCGACACCCAGGGCAGTTCCGTGTCCAGTGACCGTGCTCTTGGCAGAGCTGACAGAAGGCATTTGCTGTCATGACAGCTGCTTGCCCAATGCCCTGGCTCCTTATATCAGTAACAGGTGCTGTTTGGGGTGCATTGGCCTTGCTGGGTCTCCTTGACGGTAGATCACCCTGTAAAGCAGCCATTGATTGGCCTGTTGCCCATCTTCTGCTGTTTGCTTGCTCCTCGTTCTCCTGGTCTCTAATAAAGTAGACCAAGGAGGCAGCCTCTACGATGTCAGTCAAGGGGGTGCTCAACCCAACCCTGATTTTTGGAGATTTTTTTTTTAATATTAGGGTGAGCTAGAAAAACCATGGTCATGGGCAAATTCTGACACTTAGTATTTTCCTGCGAGTTAAGACCGTGCCCATGAGAACTATGACCCTTTAGGGAAGATAGTGTAACCTCTTTTTTTGTTGTTGTTATGTTGTTTGGGGCCCTTTACTGTGGCCAGGCATTATTACAGAAAAGGTCAGTCATCCCTTACATAAGGTCTGGGGATCAAACTGTACATAACAGTGGAGAGTCCTGAAGAACAGTAGTAACTTCCCTTCTGGAAGAGAAAAGAGGAGAAGTGAGGCAGCGAGTTGGGTCTCTAGCCTGACTTTCTGGGCTTTTAGATTTAACTGGCAGTTTAACCAGTGTTTACTGCGTAGCCCAACTTAGAGGAGAGGTCTCTGCCATTCTTTGGCTTCCAGGTATTTACCGTGTAGCCTGTGGACACTAGAGCTTTTTTGATTTTCTGGAACCCAGTTTTCTAGCATCTGCCACATAACCACAACTTAACAGAGACAGTAGAGTACACAATGGATTAACATGAATGTTTTATGTCTCTTGTTGTTGAATAAACCAGAAATAAAAAAAAACCTTGTATATAAGAGTTTATATAATTTAGAATTATTTAACAGAGTCAAAAAGAGCTTACAGGACCTAACTCTAGAAATGGCAGAGTAACCGATTAAGCAGACACTGTTAAAATAGACGTTACAGTTTTTGCAAAAACAGATTCCAAGATTTATGATTTAGACCATTTTTAGATATTTACTAACATTAGTACACATTTTTTTTAAAAAAAAAACCATTGTTATAACAGATCAGACTTTAACTTTTAAGTCAGTGTAATTTTGGCATTAGCACTTAACTCTGTAAACAATATTTTAAAATCATAAACATTTTAAAACTTTTTATGACTTGTTTACACCTTTTGAAACTTTATACCCGTAGTTACTTTTACATAGCCTTGAATTGTCATGTATGGACAACCTATGAGAAATATATTTTTCCAAGTTTTACTTAGCACTGATGCCTAGATGACTTAAGACACTGAGTTATTAATGAATACCACACCATTATTTGAAATAAAAGTTAAAATTACATTTTATGTTTTTAAGTAACATGAGGATAACACCTCCTGGACAGCAAACACTAGTGCATGTTTACAACTTTGAAAAGATCTTTATCATTAAGAGAAATAAGTTTAAAGCATATTAAAGACATGTAAAACTGAGCAAGCAAGCCACAGAGCAAACAGAAGGGCGTTTGTATTACCTCAATTTTTTGAACCAATCTGCATTGGCTTACTTTAGTTAACAACATAAAGGCTTGTATACACAGAATTTATTCTTATTTTTATAAGACCACTTTAGCTGGAAAGCAAAAACATAAATACAGTATAGGTCTGACACCATTTGTAACATTTTAATATATTTTATATAATCTGAATTGACCCAAGCAGCTGTTACTTTAAGAAATTTAGAGTCTCATCCTTTGAGAGTTCCAGGGATCCGACTGGAAGCCCAAAGTTGGAAGACTCGGTTTAGAACTTAAGCTGTCAGAGTCAAACCATTTAGCCAAAATTAGTACATTTCTGATCAGTTGGGTAATCACTCAGACATTAAAAACAGATAAACAATGTAAACAAACTTCGCGCTGTAGTTTTCCCAATCAAGACTCATAATGGCAATAGAAAAACACGAACCTTCAAGACAGGTGAACACTCTCATCAGATAAGTCAGGGACAGTAGCACAGAAAAGAGCTGATTATCAGCATATGAACCCATTGTTTAGGTTTTCATTAGCTGCAAAGAGAAAGACCCATCAGGTTGGAAAGGGTTAATGGCTTAAGGTTCTGGCTCCCTTAGGTAAGGTCAGCAGTGGTATTGAATTAGAAATTCCTCCAGGAGAGGAAAAAGAAGCAGCCTTGGGGTGGGGGCTCTGCCTAGAGATATTTGGAGTGCAGAGAAAGGCTGTGGTCCCCCATTTACAGGGAAGACTGTGCACACCGGGGCCTGGCAGGACTAGCCGTGGGGTTGGGTAGGTGCGCTATTTTACCAAGAGTGTTGGGAACCTCCTATAATTTAACCAAAGCCAGATTAATTAGGACTACTGCAGACACTCAGTCAATTACAACAGATAGTTAACTTTAGCTCTTTTCCAGATTTAGTCCTCAGGCAATCAAAGCTTAGCAACAGTAATAGTTTACAAAAAAACTTTAAGACGCACCAGAACTACCATAAGCTGCAAAGACGGAAAACTTTCTACCAGGTTGGAAAGGGTTAACAGGTAACAGGTAACAGCTTTTCCCTGGGTGGAGAGACCTGTGGAATTTCCCTCTCCCTTCCTCCTGGCCAGTGGTATAGCAATGGAGATGAGGAGAGCAAAAGAGTGGGGGAGGGAGCCCCCCCCCCCCCCAGGAGGAAGGCAGAAAGCAATGAAGCTCCTCCTGTCTGGGGGCTGAGTGGGGTTTGAAATCTATCGCTCAAGGTTACCCACTACCTAGTTGTCTGAGTTTACCTGAAGGGCCAATATTAGCCTCGACTGAAGCTAAGCCCTGCTCACATAGCAGTAGGTAGGCAGCGTGACCAGGCGTCCCTGAGAGAGAGACCTGGTGCTCGGGTCACAGTCCAGCCGCCGGGAAGCCAAAGCGAGCTCAGGGGGTCTCCAGAATCTCAGCCAACTGCCCTTCCTAATTTCCCTCCCGTTCCTTACAATCCCTCTGGAGTTTCGGCCTTAGCTAAGCCGTGGCCGGGGGACTCCGCGTTCTCGGAGAGCTGTGGGGTGCCGGACACTCAACTCACTTCCACAGATCCGGTCCCGCTTGAGGGAAGGAATACTCACCTCCGATGTCTTCTCAAAATCCCGGTCCGGGTGCCCATGATGGCCAGGCAGGAGAACACTCGGGAATGAGTGGTAAATGGAATGAGCCCTCCGGGGGGCCAATCCACCCAGTGAGCAGGCCATTCAGAGGCACAGAAAGACTGCTGCTTTACCTTCTTAATCAGAAGAGAGAGATTAGATCCCCTAGCCCCTACATCAGGCCAGTGAGCCAAAGTAAGAGATAGCAGCCTCCACACAGTTTGACCCATGTTACAGACAGAAAAGCAATTCCCCCCAAAAAAACCTGAAACCTAAAATGTAACCGCTGTTGGCACAAAACTCCCGCCTAGGGGAATTTCTGATGGGAGTTTTGCTGAGCGTCCTCAGTCTCCCGGTCCTCTTGGGGCGTCCCCCAAGGTGGTAGCCTGGGGCTTTCAGGCACGTCTGCCAGCCACAGTGCGTACCGTGCCAACCCAAAAACCAAAATCGAAACAGGCCTATAACCCGAAAAACTGAAACCTGAAGCGCACATATACTGAGTCCCTACCTTAGGCGCCTTTCTACTTACCCCAAGAGACATCCTTTGGAGGTGTCCACGGGCAACCACGATCTCGCTGGGGCCTCCAAATGTTAGAGTCGACCACCCGAAAAACATCACCAAGAGACATGTCTCTTATGCAAACAGCACGGGGAAGCTTTATTGATTATCCAGCATGCTGGGGCTGTCTGATCATACATGAGCAGAGCAGCCCCGAATAACCAAAGGTTAGGGTTTATAAAGGCAAAAACCGCAAAATCGGGAGGGGGGAGAGAAGACACGGTTGCTAAGCGGTTGCTAATATCTTACAATCAGCAATTATGATCTTAAGACATAGACAAATCACATTTTCATTATTGGCTCAGGTAACCTAGGTGTAGACTTTTTATTTTTAAGCTTGAGCAATCATGCTAGGGGGTTTTTATGTGTTGCCAAGGGTGATGTAGTGCCCTGCTATTGTCCGACTATTTGAGATCATAGTTTCAGACCAGAGTCTCACGGGGGGGCGGGGGGGTGCTTTCCCAGAATGTAGTTTCAAGTGCTCCAAAATGGAGTCCCTACTGTCAAGGTGCTACTTTACTCTGTCTTATTTTCACAGCTGCACCAGGAAGGTTTAAACCTGTAAGTTTAAGCTTAACTTTTTACACCCGCACATATACAATTTTAACTCTTCAAAAGCAGACCCAGAGAATAGTTACCTTTCCCTTCAACCATGGGAGGACATACAAAAGGTACTATCTGAGAGGAACAGGCCCTCACTGCACACTGGCACCTTGATCTTGTACTTTCCAGCCTCTAGAACCATGAGCAATAAATGTCTGTTGTTCATAAATTGCCTGGTCTAGGGTACTTTGGTTTAGTAGTACACAAATCAAGTAAGACACCTCCCCTTTACTCCGAGGATGCTGTGACATCTGTGCCCTCATCTTCAGGGAGTCATGGGCTCTCTTCTGTCAGTTTGAGAAAACCATTCTAATCTCCCTGAGGTGTGCCAATACAGGAAGCATTCATCACCAATACAGGCCGACTGTCCGTAGAAGAAAGAAGTCATGAGAAGTGCACCAGATATAGTAACAGAAGACTTGGGTGCCACCAAATTTACCTGTGAGGAAAACTAGTTTCCAAATCCAGGAAAGTGGCAGAGTGACATGCCTGCAGGGACAGGGAACTGTGCCAGATAGAAATGTGGCCACAAGAAGAGTGAATGGCTGCTCCCATTTGGTGCATGCTGATGAGAGCCTTCCGGGAAATGAAACCAACCAAAACAGAAATCAAATTATCATGTAAACTCTCACTGTTTTAAAATGTGAGTAACAAAATAAATTAAACCACTGGGTGATCCAAAACAATACAGCAGTAACAAAAATATGCCCATAGTCCCAATTTGGTCTCTGTACACTACGGGGTACATGTTAAAATTTGATTCCAGGGCCCAATATACCTTATCATACCAACCCACTAGAGTTGCAAGTATCACAATGAAGACTGCTCTGCGGTATCTGGATCAAGGTATTAGCGTTTCCAGATCTGTATCAATCTAAAATTTACAGCCTTATGGGTGGAGACAGTAGAGTCACCACATATATCAGTCGTATCTAGTAGAATTTACAAAGGATAAAAACCCTAACATTCCACAGATTCATGACATTTCCTTGCACTTTCCTGGTTGTTAAGAGACTGGTCTCCAACTGGACACTTTGGACCTCATCCCAGATTCAATCTCCAGTACTGGTCTAGGTGGCTTCTGGGGACTTCAATCCATACCCACAGAGACCATTAGCTTTCCCATGTGCAAAATTCAGGATACTAGGGTCTCCTTCTCTCTCAAAGGAATGTGTATGTTGCTCTATGGGGAGATAACTTAATATGAATGGTTGGTTTTAGCAGGTTAGTTAGTTTTCTATTTGATAATCTTGCTATATTCAATAATTTCCTAATAAGTAAGAAAGGTTACTTCTAGTGGATTTCCACTTATTGCACCAAAGCTATAGAGCAAATATTAGACCTCTCAATACAGAGTGAGCTCCCATCCCCAAATGACAAAGAGGATATGTGTCTCAATGAGATCTCTGATTCCCAGTTTCTTGATTTTTCTTCTTTTTCTCCCTTGATCCTGAACACATAACATTATTTCCTGGCTGCTTCAAAGTTAGATGACACATAGGACTCCAAAGTCATTAACCAAAGTCTTTCTTGTACAGATAAAAGAGTAAACTCATAAGGAAACAAAGAAACCCAAACTAAAGCAAATAAGAAGAGACACAAAAATATAAGGTGGAAACTCAAAGGGCAGGCATTTGAGAATTTTGTCACTCATCTATTTTTAATTCTGTTGGCTTTCATGTAGGTTAACAATTATTTTCTATTTACTTTTGTTTGTTTGCTGAAAAAGAAAAAAATTCAGAGACTTTAAATATCCAAAAGGGAAGAATCTCCCAGCTACCTTGTTACATGAGCCCCTCAGACATACAGACACTTGCCTCAAGCTTAGTGCACTGGGAAGAGAGTAGGATTTCTGCCACCTAAGTCTCTAGTGTTGGCACTGTCAGCTCTAATCATCTACTTTGTTGGTTATCCAGGTGCTTTGTTGATTTCTTCTCCCTGCCTGTGGCCCGAGTTGGCACAACATCATACTTTCAGTTTCGGAAATGAGGATGCATGCAAAGGTGGACTTAATGGAAAGAATGTGCTGGAAGAAATCCCCTAGAAACTCACCCTTAACTCCTTAAGTGGAAGGCTAGTGCCCTCTCCTCCTGTGTTCTGTATCAGGTGATACTGAGGTCACCCACCTAGGCAGTTAGTGAGCAGTGTAGCCAGCAGTCCCAATATCCCTTGATACTGGGTTCTGGATCTCAGAACAGGGTTCTGCACTCTTTTCAACCCAGTACTAATGGCCACCTAGCATATTTAGAAGTACATCAGATGAAGGGGTAAGGTAGAGGCCTTCTAGCTCAGAAGGCTCAAAAATCATATACCCAGCCTGGAAAATAAAAAGGACATCATTCATACTTAGAGGAGGATAGTGGACATAAACTCGCACTGTCCCAGGTGGTCACCATTTTATGAATCAAGGAGAGAAGCAATCTCAACTGTTGTGGTCATAGGTCACTTTGAGAGTTGAGAGAGAGAGAGAGAGAGTTCCCTTCTACTGGTTCATGTAAAAAATGCCCACAATAGCTGAAGCCAGGAGTGAGAAACTCAAAACAGGTCTCCCAGGTAGGTGGCAGGGACCCATCCATTTCAGCAATCACTCTTGCCTCCCAGGATCTGCATTAGCAGGAAGTTGGAATTAGGATCCACAGCTGGAGCTAGAAGCCAAACACTCTGATATGAGGGTGGGCATCTTAATCTTTATACCAAGTACTAGCTCCTGTGATAAAATTTATAGACCTTCTCCTTGCACATTTAACACATCCATTGAGCCCAGACTATGAAACCTTTCATAGTAAAGATACTAATTATGGTTTGTAAAACAGTCCCTTCCATAGCCTCAAGTAACCAATAACCAGGATAAAAAGGGGAACCAGAATTTTATGTGCTCCTGGAAAAATCCCTTCCTCTTAGCTGACTGCAGAATACTCTTGGCCATCACGTCATCAGATGGGTCCTAATCTCTTTATGCCTCTTTTCCTAGTTTTGTTCAGTCATTGCAGGCTGCCCACCATTCTCACACATGCCTGATATCCCAGGCTGCAGACTTCTCACAGTGCAGAGGACCATCAGGGAAAAAGATGACTCTGCTGTTGCCTATCACCATCCCCTGCTGTATTTTTTCCAAAGCACTCATTACCCTCTAATATCAATGGTATTATACTTGTCTAACTCCTTTGGGCATGAAGCCAGGGATTCCTGTCTGTTTACACCTCTGTCCTATGTAGCTGTGTACTTGCAACATTAATGGCCTCTAAAAAGTGTTTTTTGAATGAAAACCTGATGAATAGAAAACCATCATTTATTAGTAGTTACTATATTCCAGGCATGCAATACTTTACTTACCCAATTTCATTTTTGAAACAACCCCATAAGAGAAGTATTATCATTCTTTTCATTTTATAGATGAGCGGGCTGAGATGCAGAAAGATTATGTAAAGTACAAAAAGCCACTGAGTCAGTGAATGGTAGAGAAAAAATTCGGACCTAGTCATCTCATTCTCGCCTTTGTGTTCCTACGTAGTTTTACTAAGGGTTTTTAACAGCAATATGGGTTATTCGGTGTCACAGATGGGATTTCTTGATCCCTGTTTTCTTATTTTTTCTGAACTGAAGGTGACTGAGGATTGACCAAACAACAAGCAAGTTGTTAATGTGAAAGGACAAAATCATCTTCTAAAACAAGAGATCTTATTGCCTCCCACATGTGGCTAAGATGTAAGGGGGAGAATATGAGTGTCTGAATCATCAAGCAGAAAAAATCATTTGTACAAAAACCTTCATTAGCCTCCACATTCCCATAAATGCCAGACAATTATGTGCCAATGAGCATCCTCCCTTACTTATTTGTATTAAAGAGATTATTTAAGGCATAGATTCAACTAAGCCCCTTATCCCTGTCCAAAGCCCTAGGAAAACTTCAAATATGGTATTACATTATTAGGTTTCTGATTAAATTCACTCACATTTGGTGTGAATGGACATGCCAGGAAGTACAGAAATTAAAATCCTGAGAAATAAATAAAAAAAGAAAACCAGAGCTCATATATTCTGGGGATGTACTTTGCATGGAAAGGTTTTGCTTTTTAAGGAGAATCATGTTAGGTCATTATCAGTGGTGAGCCAGCAAGAACATCAACATTTCTGTGTCACATAAACAGAACTGGAGACCCAGAAATGGTCATCTCAAAGTGTTTACCTACATCAACTCTGACTGCCGGATTTTGCAGTAAGACTCAGAGGTTTTGTTGCCTACTACAGCTTTTAGAACACTAGGACCAGAATCAACTGGGATGGTAATTTAAATGCAGATTCCTGGTTCCCTCTTGTGTCTATGAAATCAGAATCTCTAAGGGCTGGACTCAGGAATATGCATATGTCTCCCCAGGAGATTCTGAAGTCCAACCCTCACTTGACCTCTGACTTGGCGATCATAACTCTAGGCTCTTAAGCCTACAGTTGTAGTCAGGGGATTTAACTTGCTACTCTCTTATTTTTCAGTTTGGTGATTTTTCTACTTGTGTTAGTTTAAAGTCATCTATTTTGGAGCTGGTACAGAATTTGTTAAGAGCTTGAGGTTTATAAATCAGGACAACCATGTCTAGATTTACCACTTACAGTAATATTGGATAAGTTATTTAATTCTTTAAGTCTCAGTCAATTCCTATTACGTGGGGAATAATACCTACCTCTCAGTGTTTTTGAAGGAATTAAATGTGATAACACTTGTAAGCTGTTTAGTACAGTGATTGGCATGAGACAGGATAACGACATGGTGGTGCTGGTGGTGATGACACTGAGGGTCAGAGCTAGATGTATTGAGACTGACAGAGCCATGAAGAGTCATGGTTTTTGGAATCTAAGAAATTGACAAAGTGAAATCAGAAAAGAGATGGGTAAAGTTCATGTAAGTGTGTTTGTCAAAGGGAGCACCTTAGTTTCAGGGGCTCTGAAAAGCATATCCATTGGATCAACTCCAGCCTGCCGTATCTTACTCACGAGTTTTATTGCCACAGAGCCACTTTGTGTATGGCCACTTTAAGCTCCAATGGCAGACTGTGTAATTATGACAGATCATTTGACCTGTAGAACTTAGTATATGCATATTCCCAAGCTGGTCCTTTCAGAAAATTCACCAATCCCAACTCTAGTGAGCTGCAAATAGGGGCTTTAATTTCATACAGGAAAAAGAACAAAAAAGAGAAGAAACAGAAACTGGATAATGAAGAAGACAAAGATACCAGCTATACTGGCTTGTGCTGCCAAATAACAACCCTGAAAGACACATACACACAAACACACACACACACTAAATCTCTGTACCCTACAACCACCTACCCACACATATCTGCAAGGGTTTGTCCAGAGTTCTCCATCTAAAGGTTCATCTGGACACCCATCCTCAGGCCTAGCCAAAAGATGGGAGCCAAAACATTTACACCCAGTCCTGGCCTTGCTACTAGCCAGCCCTATGATCTTGGGCAGGTCACTTTACCTTTCTGAGTCACAAGTTTCTATCTGTAAAGTGAGGAAGTTGGACTTGTTTGGGTCATGTATAGTGGTGCACATACCTTAAGTACAGGCTTCTCCTGCAGGGGCTACCTGTCTTTACTTCTCTGTTAGAGATCAAGGAGTACAGAGATAAGTGGTTGGCTGGATTGCTAGATATCCCTTTGGTGCCTTCAGGATCAGTTTCAGGCTCATATCCTGGGAGTGGCATCCATAGTCTCTACATAGCCTTGCACAGAGTGGCCAATATATGAGTGTTGATTTATGTTAATAATTGAATGGTGCCCCCAAAATTCCTCTGTTGAAGTTCAATGTGGTAGTATTTGGAGACAAGGCCTTTATGGAGATGAGGAAGCTTAAATAAACGTGGTATCTTAATATGCTATAAATGGTGACTTTCCAAGAAGAAGAGGAGCCACCAGAGTGCTCTCTGGGCAAGATATGAGAGGACTTTGTGAGGAAGTGGCTGTCTCTGCCAGGAAAAAGGCCTCATCAGAAACTGACCACATTGACACTTTGACCTTGAACTTCCAGCCCTCAGAACTGTGAGAAAATGAATTTTTGTTTCTTGGGCTACCTGATCTCTGAAATGTTGTTAGAGTAGCCTGAGTAAATGAATACAGTTTGATTCTAGGTTTATGCCTTTGTGAGAAATACCATTGTCACAATCCTTGGCTAAATTGACTTCTGCAAATGAGTTGAAAACTAAGAAGGAGTAGTGGCAGGTACTGAGTATTGCTATCATCACCCTCAATCTCTTTCAGTTTCACCTCAATTTTCTTTAGACTGTGGGTTGGTTGTCTTCATAACAACCAGGAAAAATATCAGGAGGTCTACATTCCAATTTTGGCTCCAAAGTATTATTTAAATCATCTAACTTGAGTTTGAGGGTTAATCATGTCTGAGGTCAAAAACTTGTTCTACCTTTAGCTATATAACCTAGAGCAAGTTAACCAACTCTTCTGATGGACAGTTGCTTTATCTATAAAATGGGAATTACGTCATTAATTTAACAGGTCATTGTGAAGATTAAATACATTACAGTGCATAAAGAATATCACTCTCAGCAGTGGCACTGGGGTTAAGCCACTGTTTACAGGTTAAGCCATTGCTTACAATGCTAGCATTCCATATTGGAGAGAGCTGCTCATCTTCTGGTGCAGCTCCCTCCTCATGCATTTTGAAAAACAGTGGATGGTGGCCTAAGCACTTGGGCACATGGGAGACCTGGATGGGGTTCCAGATTCCTGGCTTTGGTCTGGCCCAGCTCTGGCCATTATAGTGACTTGGAGAATAAATCAGTAGGTGGAAGCTCAGTTTGTTTCTCTCTCTCTCTCTCTCTCTCTCTCTCTCTCTCTTTGCCTTTCAAATAAATACCTAAATACCTAATTTACAATGCCATGTAATATGACAAATGTAGTTTATGAGAAGGTAAATGCATTGGTTAATTTTTGCTTTGGTACCACATTACTCCAAAACTTAGTGGTTTAAATAAAAATATTTATTATTTCATAATTTCTTTAGGTCTAAGCTCTTGCTTCCTCTAATTCTATGTTTTCTTACCAGGCTCAAACCAATGTGTTAGCTAGGGCTGCAGTCTCATCAGAAATCTTGACTGGGGAAGGATCAGTTCACCATTTGTTGGTGGCATTTGATTTCTTGCTATATTGAAGGAATCCCTTTTCTTTCTGGCTTAGTCAATTTTCCATCATATTGGCTTCTCAATAGGGTGGCTCAAAACAGTAAACAGAACAAATGAGAGAAAGAGGAAAGAAGGAGGCTATAGTCTTTTTGTAATTGAACCTTGAGAAGGATGTCCTATCACATTAAGCCATGTTGTACTCATTAGAAATGAGTCACTGGTCTAGCACTACTCTATCACTACTCTAGCAGATTGGATTACAAAGGGTATGAAGATCAGAAGGCGGAGATCATTGAGGGTCATCTTGAAGGCTGTTTATCACAGCTGGGTAAAGTGTGAAGAAGAGGAAACATATGGTCTGGAATAAGACTATATTCACCACTTACTATTCATGAATTCTGTGTTTGAGCAATTCCCTACTTGTTAAAATTTATTTGTAGCTACAAAAATCAATACTCATGGCATTTTTATGGTCATTTGCAGGCAATCTCAGAGCAGCAAAACAATTTGAGCTCCTGAACACACACATTTCTAGCTGAGGTTGGGTGACAAAGTGATAAAGCTTTCGTTTTTCAGCTCTTGGATTATTAAAAAGTATTTACTTTGCAGTCTACTTAGTGCAATGTTTTTATTATTTTTGTGCACTTTTTGGTGATGCTGCTGTTTAAATGGCCCCCAAGCATCATGCTGAAGTGCTACCTAGTGATCCTAACCCCAAGAAGACTGTGATGTGTATCTTACAGAAAATATTTGTGTGTTAGAGAAGCTTCATTTAGGCATGAGTCATAGTGTTGCTAGCTGTAAGTTCAATGTTAATGAATCAACAGAATATATTAAATAAGATGTCTTTAAACAGAAACACACTTAAAACAAGGTTATGTAATGAGCAGTTGGGGTAATGTTATGATCAGAGGAGTGTAGGAGACAATCCCTGTATTTCCCCTAGGTACAATAGTTCATGGCACTTGTAGCCACTCTGTAAAGCATAGCAGCCACAAATGACATGAATCAACATATTCAGGGTTGAAACTCAATTCTGCCACTTGACCAGCTATGCTATCCTTTTCTGTTTTATTTTCATTATTAGCAAAATGTGAATAATAAAAGGCTTTGGAGAGAATAAAGTCCAGGGTTCCCAGCACAGTAACTACCATACAGTAAATATTTAATAAATAGGAAAATTATTATAACTATTATTATCTGAGTTCAACTTCACTTAGATTATACCAAATAATCTGCAAGTTTCCCTTCTTCTATTCTAGGGTATACTGGGTACAGAATAAGCATTTGCGAACTACAAACTGAATAACTAAGAATTCTCAAAGTGTCCTAGGTAGAAAGTCTATAGCTAAAGGGAAACAAGTATTTGTATGCCTGGTCTCTGGATTTGAAATCAACATTATGGTTGGATGGGGGTGGGAGTGTGTGAAGCATTATAAATACTCTCACATCAAAACTCACATCAAGACATTAAATCAATTGTTGACAGGCTGTTGACTCACTTCTTTCAGAAACCCAGAGAATGCCCAGCAGATAGAAATGTACCTACAACCCAGGAGCCATAGTATTTTCCCCATAGCACCAGGCATGGAGCCATAAGTGGATTCAGCCATAGTACACAAATAATCAGTTACCTAAACAAGTCAATTGTGATGTCTTGGAGGTTATTTTTCATCTCTAAATGCTGAGTCATCCTCTCGGGAGCAGAGGTGTAATATTTTAACATCCATGTGGCCTCTGGATTTGGAATCTGGCCTTATTTTTATAAGTTACTCTCCAAACTGAGTTTCCCATCTTCCCCCCAAAAGGGAGAGCATTTGTGAGTTCTCCAACACAGCTGTCTTCAGGGGAGAGCACAGCTCAATTTCAAGGACTACCACCAATAACCCTCTCTTAGGAAGGCTGAGGAGTTATCTGCAAGGCTTATTAGGGTCACAGATGAAGGAAGGTACACATTACATCCTGTTTCTTCAGCACATCCTGGTGAAGCCAAGTGGATCAAGACCATTTAATCTCTGAGACTTAGTTGCCCTCTCTGAAATAGCAAAGCTAAGGAGACTAATCTGGGTGAAGGATAAACTTAATTTTTTTCCTGGTAGAGAAATATCACTACCTTCCTCTCCTCAAGATTTAGTTACGGTTAGTAAAAACAGCTAACTCATGCTGAGTGCTTATTTTCCAGGCATCATCTCATCCACTCCTCCCAAACCCTGTTATTGTTCTTATTGTATGGATGAAGGAACTGAGGCACAGAAAAGTGAAGGAACATGCCTAAGATATGATAGCTAATAAAGTGCAGAGCTGAGATTCACTCCGAGGTCATCTGACCCCAGAGCTTGCACTAACATTTAGCAGTGTCCCTTGAGGAGATCTGTATTTTCAAAAGGGCATCTTGGAGACAATATTTTAGCCTAAATACATGGTAAGAATTTCTAGTGGTACAGACACTGGGGAAGATAGTGTCCATATTGTGCCTCATCCACAATGACCTTGCCCTCCAATTGCAAGATAAGCACTTAAAACAGGGATTGGGAAGTTAACCTCACCCATCATTTCTCCCTTCTCAGACATCTTCAACAATGTTCAGAAGGAGCTGTGATAGATTTTGTGTGCCAAGAGACTTCAGAGTCTCAGAGCTTAAGAAGGTGAGGTATGAAAGGTAGCATGATCCCAAACTCAACCACTAACTCCACTCCATTTTTCAGTAAAGCACTATTTATCCAACACCTGCTCAGTGCCAGGGCCTGGACTCAGAATCTGAAAGGCTTGTTGTTTCTCTTCCCAATAATTTATTAACTTACTACTAAAAGTACTCTTGTGCTGATGAGATGAATTCAGAGCAGTCATGAGACTTCATAGGACACACAGCCAGGAAAAGATGGAATTGAACTGGCACCAAAGCCATCCTCCCCTTTCACCACAATGTAACCCTAGTCTGCTTTCTTAATGCCATTAACCTGCTTCTTGTGCCAAAAGGTTTCACTAGTCTGGCTGCTACTGGGTGGTATCTGAAATTGCCAGGTAGGATAAAAAGCTGTTGAGTGTGACAGGAGATGGATGTGCCACATAAAACAAACACCTCTTTGGAGACAGAGAGGAGATGGGGCCTGGAATACCAGCCAACATACTTTAGGGGTATAATTTGACTCAGATTACAAGTTACTTTTTATCACACCAAGTAGAAATAAAGCCAGAAAGGCTCCTGTGCCAGGGGTCCTACTTTGGATGTCAACCAGAGATTTGAAGAATGTTCTTTTTCTACCACAAAGAAACTTATAGGCCAGCACCACAAAACTTCCTTCAAACATAGAAAATCTTTCAATCAGTAATATTTTGAGCTGGAAGAAATGGAAACTGGGGGGTTAAGGGGAGAATAGGACAGATTCTGACATGTAACTCTTTGGAAGTTTGGTGCCTATTAAACCCAAAACAGCCACAGCAACACATATTGGTGAAAGTGTCAACTGGAGTAAAATTCTTGAGGTTAACTGAACAATATGGATCAACAAACTTAACAATGTGTGCAGTCTTCAATCATTTTTCTGCTAAGATTACATTCTAAGAAAACAACTATAGATAAAAGTTAGTTCATTAAAGCATTAGTGTTAAAAGAAAACAAGAGAAACAATCTATATGTCCAATGAGGGACAGCTTTTGTTATCTCATCATGGTGAACTAGGCAGTTATTAAAAAGCTCCTGACTTTGCCTCCCCATCCTTCTTCTTCTCCAGAGATTCCCATCCAGTGGCTGACACCTTCTTTAATCCAGGTGCACCAGGAAGTAATCTGGGTCGTCCTGAACAACTCTCCAACTACCCAATCAGTCACCAGGTGCTATCCTACACAAATCATAAAACTATCTCAATTCCATTGATTTCATTCCAAGACCACCTGGCACAAACTTAGTACAAACCTCTGCCACCACTCTCTCTTGAATACTCTTAGGTGCCCCATATCCACCCAGGGTCCCCATTTCTAATCTGTCAATTCTCCCAAAAGAACCATGGCCAGAGTTCTTTTGAAAGCAAATCTGATTCAGTTTTTTCTTCAATCTGTTAATGTGATATATCACACTGATTAGATGGCTTCAGCAGCTTTTTTTGGTTTCTGTTACCCTGGAATATCTTTTTCCATCCTTTTACTTTGAGTCTGCGTGCATCTTTGTTGGTGAGGTGTGTCTCTTGTAGGCAGCAAACAGGTGAGTTTTGTTTTTTTAATCCATTCTGCCAGTCTGTATCTTTTAACTGGAGAGTTGAGGCCATTTATATTCAAGGTGACTACTGATATGTAGTGACTTTCCCTGTCATCTTCCCATAAATATTCTTATTATTTACTTAGGATTTCCTTTGTACTTTTACTGGGAGATTTTCTGTCTTCACCTTCTTTCATAGTGATGACCATGTTTCTGTGTGTAGCACATCCTTAAGCAATTTTGTAAGGCTGGTGACAAATGCTTTCAATTGCTGTTTACTATGGAAAATCTTTATTTCACCTTCATTCATAAATGAGAGCTTTGCAAAGCATACTTTTCTAGGTTGAATGTTTTTTTTTCCTCTTAAGACTTGGAATATATCTCACCATTCTCTGCTAGCTTGTAGGGTTTCTGAAGAGAAGTCAGCTGTGAATCTAATTGGAGATCCTCTGAAAGTGATCTGGCATTTCTCTTTTGCACATTTTAGAATCTTCTCTTTATGTTTTACTGTGGAGAGTTTGACTGCAATCTGTCGTGGTGAAGATCTTTTCCATTCATGTCTATTAGGAGTTCTATGTGCTTCCTGTACTAGGATGTCCCTTTCTTTCTACAAATTTGGGAAGTTTTCTGTAATTCTGTGAATATTTCACTAGAAGGACCTTCTAATACATTCTTTTCGTGTCTTTTTGAACTCCTAAGACCTGTATGTTGTGTCATGTGATAGTATCCCACAGATCTACAGCACTGTTTTCTAGTTTTCTAATTTCTTCTTCTTGTTTTTGGTCTGATTGTAAAATTTCTAGCAATTTGTCTTCTCAGACATTCTTTCTTCTGCTTCATCGAGTCTGTTGGTAAGGCTTTCCAATGCATTTTTTAATTTGTTCTACCAAATTATTCATTTCCAAGGTTTCATGTTGATTTCTCATTAAGATCTTAATTTCATGGAAGAAATTTGCTTTCATGTCATATTTGGATTTCATTACTTTGTGGATTTGCTTCTGATTATGTCTACATAATCTCACAATCAATTTTTTTGAATTCCTTTTCTGGTTTTTCTTCAGTCTCTTCATCTATTCATATTCTAGTACTGACGTGTCATGTTCTTTAGGGAGCATTATGTTGTCTTCCTTATTCTTGCTTCTTGAATACTGCATTTATTATTTGGCATCTGTGGGGGTACTTGTTGGTTTCTTTTTGTTTTGTTTTGTTTTCCTGTGATGGTTTTTATCTTTGGAATATGCCTCTGTGGCTTTGTGGAGTGTTTGCTTTCTCAGTAAATATCCAGAGTTGGGTGGTGGGTGTGGCCAGGGAGCCCTTTTGAGTGCTCCAGGGTGAGGGGAGTGTCAAACATGACACCCAGGTTGTATGTGGTAAATCTCCTCTTTTTATTTATTTTTTTTTATCAGAGGGGAGGTTTGTTCTGCTCCATTGACATAGTCTCATGCTCGCCTCCTCTCCTCAAAAGAGACCAATTTCACAAGAACCACACAAAGGTCTGTGCAGTACTTGGTCGGAGCACCAATCTCACAGCAATGACCTTCACCAGGCAATCAGGGCGCCCTGAGTGTGTACAGCCACCCACAGTGACTGCCCAAAGTTCCAGCCACACCCTCTTCCATTCCATGCAGCAACAGTGTTTTCACAGTCCTAGCACATAAGCCTCCCACAGTCCTAGCACATAAGCCTCCCACAGTCACGAGCACCCAGGCCCCTGTCAATTATCCCAGCTAGACTCAGGCATCTTCCCTCTGGTGGTTGCTGGGTATGTGGACATGAGCAGGTACAGCTGTTCTTTATGTCCCAAATGGTGTCCACCCTCTTTTTGCTTGTTAACTGCCAGTGCCAGGTAGTCAGGAGAAAGAAATGAGCCCCCTTTTTTTTCTCCTGTAGGTTGGCAGGTACACTGTCCCCCACAGGGCTCCAAGCTGGATTCATGCCAGGCTCTTCCTGCGGCTTTATTGCCAGTGGCTTGGGCTGCTGCAGTCTGGTCTCACCTCACTCTCCAGAGCTGGTGCTGAGGCTCTCAGCTGCTGGGGTCCTGGGTTGCATATGTGCACATCCTCCACATAGGTCCACAGTGTTGCTCTAATTTGTGTGAAGTTTCCTCTGCTGTTTTTTCCCAAACTCTTCCCTGAGACTGCACTCTCCACTGTTTTCTTAAACTATCTTCCCCTAGACTAGAGCAGTAAGCTCCCTTCCTATTTTGTCATCCTGGATCTCTCCGCCAATCTACTTTTGATAAAAGAATTCTACCACATTTTAAACTGCAAGATTACTATAGCAATAACAAGGTTTATAAATGGCCAGACAGTAAATACTTGCAGGTGGTATAATTTGTAGCATCTGGTCATGCTGGTGTTATCATAGTGCTAAAGCAATCATAGATATTCCATAAACAAACAGGTGTGACTTTTTCTAATAAAACTTCATTTACAAAAGAAGATATGTTCTGGATTTGGCTCCTTTTCTAACTTACACAAAGCCATTTTACCTCCCTGTAATCACTGTCTCCTCATCAGTATCTCAGGAAGGCTATTCCTTCCACAAAGAAGTTTCCCATTCCATTCTGTTGCCAGCCTTCTTTTAGACCTATGCTTTTCAGGTCAACATGTTCCCCTAATTTATTTGCCAACAATTTCTGAATATTCTGGACTCACTTTTTGGGTCCTTCTCTTAGGTACACTCCTTGACTAGGTTAGGTTCTCCCTATTCTATTAAAAGACCTGCTACTTGTCCTTTGTACAGCCTGTCAAATTTGAGACGAAATAATTATTATCATAGTTCTATGTCTATATGAGAGCTCTTCAAAAACTCCATATAAGGATGGACTTAAAAGTATGAATTTATTCTGGTTCAAAAATATTTTCCTTAGTGCATGAAAAATGTGTATCATGAAAATAGGTATGGATTTCAAAAACTATTGCACCAAAATAACTCATACTTTTAAATTCATTTTTTCATGAATTTTATGACATGTCTTCATGTGACTTATGCTATAAACCATAATTTCATGAGATGATATATTATGACTATTAGTAATCACAACTGTATTTCCAATATCTAGCATGGTTCCTGATACACACAAAATACATTTGATATTTGTGGAAATTTTGTGGTTTGAATAAGCAATCACACAACTTGGAAAAATATGCACAGATATTTACTGAAATAGAAGAAAAGTTAAGGTAATTTTTTATCTTCTTATACTATTTCTCAAGCATTTCAGCAACAGCATAAAATTACTAGTATCCTCAGAAAAGTAATCATTGGAGGGGTGCAGGAAGGGAGGGAGGGTGAGAGAGAGGGAGAATATCCTGAAAGAATAGCTTACTTTTGGCACACTTCATGTGTCTGAACATTATCATTCCTCTGCTTGTTCAGTGCTGCCTAATAAACCAATATACTTCCTTTCCTATCACTTTTATTTTTTCACAGATTACTATACTAGGTCCGGGAACACTAATGTACCTAGACTGTGACTTGAGCTGAGCCATCAATTCTAAGAACACTGGCAATAGATGAACACTAAGATACCCACACTCACATGGTCTAATTTGCCCTCCAGAGCTCTCCAAATTCAAGTTGAGGAAAGGGTTAAGAGATTATTTCTGTCATGGGAGATTGCAGGCACCAGTGGTTTTGCTATGCAGAAGTTGTCCATGCAGATGGGAAGTGTGACAGCTAACTTATTTATTTCACTCACCAGTAGCTCAGCTTCAAACATCTGGTCATTTCCATGCCAGGCTGGTCTCCAAGTAGCACTCAGGAGCACCGGGCCACATGGCCACCACCATGTTCCTATTTATTCATCCAGTAATTCCCTCCACATTCAAAAGGAAGCCAATGAAGATGAGACTAATTATCCCCAAATTGAAATAGTATTTTGGTCGTCTTCTGAAAGAATCTGTGTGCGTATGATAAAAAGGGGGTCAGTAATTGACAAAAATCTGTGGATTATATAAAGTGTGGTGAGGCTACAAGGAAGTAAATGGTTTATCCTTGTCCTTGATTTTTAAATCTCCTGACTCAAGCGGACATTCTAAACAATCCCACAGAAAGATAAACAACAACACAAAGTAAAATAAATGGCAACTATGTTGAATGTTCCCTCTAATTCCCAAAAAGTCAAGGCCATTATTTCCCTTTGTTAAATTTCGTGTTATATAAATTAGAGTATTATTGGCTATAAGTAACAGAAAGTTACCATTGGCTATAAGTAACAGAAAGCTCCAGTTCAAAAGGACTTAAGTAATAAAGCAAGTATTATTTCATATTTGATGAAGTCCAGAATTAGGGCAGGGGATGGTTGCTTAGCAGCACATGAAGTCATCTACAGTCCAGCCTTTTTCCATTTCTTCACTATGTCATCAACAATTGCTTCAACCTAAGACTTGGAATTCAGATGACTATAGGAATTACAGACATCACATCTCAGCACCACAAACTCTTGTGGTTTTCTGTTAGGAATAAGGAAACTGTACCTGGAAAGCTGCTAGTAGATTTCCCTAATGGGAAATGGCTAGATTTGGGTCACTTAACTCACGGGCCAATCTCTAACAAAGGTACAGAAATGAAATCTGAACCAATTGGACTTATCACTGGAGTTCAAAGTGTGGTTGTCTTCTCCTGAAACTTGTTGTTATATGGGAGATGGCATTTGTTAGAAAGGAAGGAAAATGAAGGTTAAGAAGTTAACCAGCATTGTCTACTTGGAATGAATTCCGAAGTCAAAAAATGTTTTATACTTGAAGAACCTGATATTGCAATGACCTTTCTTCTCCTTTCTTCTCCTTTCTTCTCCTTTCTTCTCCTTTCTTTCTTTCTTTCTTTCTTTCTTTCTGTCTTTCTGTCTTTCTGTCTTTCTTTCTGTCTTTCTGTCTTTCTTTCTTTCTGACAGGCAGAGTGGACAGTGAGGAGAGAAAGGTCTTCCTTTTCCATTGGTTCACCCTCCAATGGCCACCACGGCCAGCGCACTGCGCTGATCCGAAGGTAGGAGCCAGGTGCTTCTCCTGGTCTCCCATGCGGGTGCAGGGGCCAAGCACTTGGGCCATCCTCCACTGCCTTCCCGGGCCACAGCAGAGAGCTGGCCTGGAAGAGGGGCAACCGGGACAGAATCTGGAGCCCTGACCAGGACTAGAACCTGGTGTGCCGGCGCCGCAGGTGGAGGAATTAGCCTAGTGAGCCGCAGTGCCAGCCACAATGACCTTTCTAACTTTATCTCTTCCTTTTCTATCACTCCATCATCACACACACACACACACACACACACACACACACACACACACTTGATAAGCCAGACTGAAATTCTCACAGTTCTTAAAAATCAACACTCTCTCTTAAAACAATTCTAAATTTCTTTCTGTTTCTCAACTGTAGGCTCATCACACATTGTTGTTTGCCCAGGTCAGTCCTGGTTTACACTACTAATAGCATTCCCCTTTATTCTCATATCCAACTTGGCTAAGAGTGTGAAAAACATTAAGGAATGAGAAGGTAAGACTTTGGGGACTGGTGTGGGAAGTCAAGGAGAGGGAAGAATCTAGAATGACTCTTAGTCATCTGCTTTGGGAGGATGGGTAGGTAGTAGCGCAAATCATCAAAACAGATTCAAAGAGAGAAGAAAGTTTTAGGGGAGACATTAAAGAGTTATCTTTTGAACTTAGGATACAACCAGATAAAGGTAATCAGGTAAAACTTAACTATGTAATTTAAAAATCTAAGAGAGCAGGCCGGCGCCGTGGCTCACTAGGCTAATCCTCCGCCTAGCGGCGCCGGCACACCGGGTTCTAGTCCCGGTCAGGGCGCCAGATTCTGTCCCGGTTGCCCCTCTTCCAGGCCAGCCCTCTGCTGTGGCCAGGGAGTGCAGTGGAGGATGGCCCGAGTGCTTGGGCCCTGCACCCCATGGGAGACCAGGAAAAGCACCTGGCTCCTGGCTCCTGAAAAAAAAAAAATCTAAGAGAGCAAGACCTCCCCTAGAGATACAAATTTGTGTCAATAGCACCTAACTACCGAAGTCATGAATTTGGAAGAAATGGTCTAGGAGAAACATAGAGTTAGAAGGTGTCCATGGCAATAATTCTGATGAGGCTAATGTTTAGAAGTTGGCCGGCGCTGCGGCTCAATAGGCTAATCCTCTGCCTGTGGCGCTGGCACACTGGGTTCTAGTCCCGGTCAGGGCACCAGATTCTGTGCCGATCGCTCCTCTTCCTGTCCAGCTCTCTGCTGTGACCTGGGAAGGCAGTGGAGGATAGCCCAAGTCCTTGGGCCCTGTACCCACATGGGAGACCAGGAGAAGCACCTGGCTCCTGGCTTTGGATCAGTGTGGTGCGCTGGCTGCAGCGGTCATTGGGGGGTAAACCAACAGAAAAGGAAGACCTTTTTCTCTGTCTCTCTCTCTCACTGTTTAACTCTGCCTGTCAAAAAAAAAGAAGAAGAAGAAGAAGAAGTTGCACCCAGGGAGAGCAGGCAGTTATGGGGATTCAGAAACACTGAGCAGAGAGGAAATTGAAGAATCAGAAGAAGAGAGGTATGGAAGCCCAGGAAAATGAGGATTTAAAAAAGAAAGGAATAGCTAATGAAGTGTATAATGTTATATAGACCTCAACTAAAGATCAAAAGGAGCTTAGGGACATCAGGAATTCATTGGCCACCTTTCCTGAAACATTCAGAGAGCAGCAAAGACTCATATAACGATAGGGTGGAAAGGAAATTCTTAATGGCCTCATTTTTTATGAGAAAATGAGTTATTCATGAGGTTGGTTAGGACTCTGTGTAAAAGCCTTGCCTAAAATCTCCAACACTGAACTTATCACGCATATTATGGAATTATCTACCATATTATGCTGTCCCTTTCTCTGTGTTGAAACAATGGAGATGGATAGAAATGGGATATATGCAGGAGTAACACAAGTAAGCTGGCATCAGTCTAGAAAAACAATTTACTTCCTCTTCCCATCTCCAGTACTACTGCCTTGGTTTTGGCTACTATCATATCAAGCTTGGACTGCAGCAGTCACCTCCTAAATGATCTCTCTTCCTTCTTTAGTCCATTGCTGTCCCATCAGCAAATACATCATAAGCACAAAAGAAGTTCAAATGGAAAAAACTATTGGCACTGGAGTAACTGGTAAAAATCTCAAAAAAAAAAAAAAAGAAAAATTAGCCACTGTATGTGAAAGATATAATTCAAGGTGAACCATAGATCTAAACATAGAAACTAAAACTGTACTGTTTCTAGAAAAAAACTTAATAATTCACAATCTTGAAGAAGGCAAAGTTTTTTTTATATACAAAACCAAAAAAGCACTGACCATAAAACAGAATAGAATTTTTCAGAATTAAAAACTTACCCCTCGGGGCCGGCCCTGTGGCGCAGTGGGTTGGTGCCCTGGCCTGAAGTGCTGGCATCCCATATGGGTGCCAGTTCTGATCCCGGCTGCTTCTCTTCCGATCCAGCTCTCTGCTATGGGCTGGGAAGGCATTGGAGGATGGCCCGGGTCCTTGGGCCCCTGCACCCACGTGGGAGACCTGGAGGAAGCTCCTGGCTCCTGGCTTCAGACTAGCACAGCTCTGGCTGTTGTGGTTAATTGGGGGAGTGAACCATCAGATGGAAGACCTCTCTCTCTCTGCCTCTCCACTTTCTGTGTAACTCTTTTGGATAAATAAATAATTAAAAAAAAAAACTTACCCCTAATGGTAGAGCTAGAAATGTGCCAGGGGATTCCAATTCAATCCCATCAAGGTGGCATGTACCAATACCATCTTACTTGTTAAAGTGATCAGTTTAAGCTCATAATTGATCAAAAAGATAGGATTAAGTGTCAAAGGGATTAAATAAATAAAACCAGTGTCTGCAAATAATAATTGGTAGAATTGAAAGGATAGAATGATCCTACATGGG